AAAAAAAATGGAAACGGATAGTGGTAATGGTAATGCTACATGGTGACCATAAATTAATGTAATTGAATTATACACATAAAACGGTTGAAGTAGCAGATGTTTTGTTATAGGTATTCTACCACAATAAAATAAAATTTAAAAATAAATTATTTCAAAGTTTCTAGCACACATGGGTCGTCATGAGTCAAAGTCGACTCAATGGCAACTGGTTGGTCAGTTTAGTAAACCGATCAACAGATCAGTAATAGACCAAAGGAAACAGGATCACTGGAAATGGAAACAAACCAATACTCTGTAGGAAAAGCGAGATTTTCCACAAAAATGTCACGTGTACTTAAGTATGAGATCAAAAAATACATCTTCCATATTAAAGTATTCCACAAAGTCTTCAAGACATTTGATGGATAGCGTTTTTTTTAGTACATCATAAATAAAAATTTATTGTTCAGAAGAACTTACAGTTTCACTTCCACAGAAAACCTTACATGATGTATAAAGATATCCGATAAGGTCTTTCTATTATTCTAAGTAGTGCTGAAAGAAATTATCTTTAAAAGTAATGAAACTGAAAGTTTAGTGGTAAAATTTCTGAATAAAAATTGAGATTTTATTATATTCATATTAAAAGTTTCCACCTACTCCATTTAGTCATCAAAACTGTGATTTTAAATACAGAAATACCTACAGTTTGACATTTCTTTATTATTCTGTCTTCTCATAAGAGCAGTATACTGTCATATGACAAAAAGGAAAAGCAGTATCTATATGGCTAACAACAGACCAATTACAGGACAGTGAACAAGCATGAAATGGAGAAGGAAGAGTAAAACATACTGGTAAATTGTTTCCTCGCCTTTGTAGAATTGTCTTTAAGACCTGTGATCAAACCACTTGAAGACTAGATAGATAATGAGACAAAGTATTACATGTGTTGAAAGAAAATACACACAAGGTTTGATTTTATAAATCTGATCTAAAAATTTTGCATGTGTGAAACTGGCCTATAACTTTTTTCTCACACTTTATTTTTGATATCAAGATTATATAAGCATCATACAATGAATTGGGGAAAATAATTCCTCTTTTCTATTCTCTGAAAGTGTTTGTGGAAGATTAGAATTATCTATGCCTTGAAAATTTGGCAGAACTCATTCTTTAATAGTTACAGGACAGTCTTACTTACCTAGTGTTGCTATAACAGAAATACCACAAGTGGATGGCTTTCATGACAGAAATTTATTTTCTCACAGTTTGTTGTTGCTGTTGTTAGGTGCCGTTGAGTCGGTTCCGACTCATAGCAACCCTATGCACAACAGAACGAAACACTGACCTGCACCATCCTCACAATCGCTGCTATTCTTGAGCCCACTGTTGCAGCCACTGTGTCAATCCATCTCGTTGGGGGCCTTCCTCTTTTTTGCTGACCCTCTATTTTACCAGCATGATGTCCTTCTCCAGGGACTGATCCCTCCTGATAACATGTCCAAAATATGTGAGACGTAGTCTTGTCATCCCTGCTTCTAAGGAGCATTCTGGTTGTACCTCCTCTAAGACAGATTTGTTCCTTCTTTTGGCAGTCCATGGTATATTCAATATTCTTCACCAACACCACAATTCAAAGGCATCAATTCTTCTTCCGTCTTCCTTATTCACTGTCCAGCTTTCACATCTATATGAGGTGACTGAAAACATCATGGCTTGGGTCAGGCACACTTTAGTTCTCAAGGGGACATCTTTGCTTTTCAACACTTTAAAGAGGTCTTTTGCAGCCAATTTGCCCAATGCAATGTGTCTTTTGATTTCTCGACTGCTGCTTCCATGGGTGTCAACTGTGGATCCAAGTAAAATGAAATCCTTGACAACCTCAATCTTTTCTCCGTTTATCATGATGTTGTTTATTGGTCCAGTTGTGAGGATTTCTGTTTTAAGTTGAGGTGTAATCCATACTGAAGGCTGTTGTCTTTGCTCTTCCTCAGTAAGTGCTTCAAGTTCTCTTCACTTTCAGCAAGCAAGGTTGTGTCATCTGCATAATGCAGGTTGTTAATGACCCTTCTCCCATTCTTTTTCATATAGTCCAGCTTCTCGGACTATTTGTTCAGCATACAGTTTAGGAGGCTAGAAATCTGAATTCAGGGTGCTGGCTCTCGGGGAAGGCTTTCTCTCTCTGTCAGCTCTGGAGGAAGGTCCTTGTCTCTTCAGCTTGTTTCTTGGTTCCTTGGAGACCTCCATGTGGCTTGGCATCTATCTTCCCTCATCTCTGCTTGCTTGCTTGCTTAGGTAACTTCTTTTATATCTCAAGAGACTGACTCAAGACACACCTTACACTAATCCTTCCTCATTAACATAACAAAGACAACCCATTCCCAAGTGGATTATAACCACAGGCATAGAGGTTAGGATTCACACTTATTTTTGGGGGACACAATTTGATCCATAACAAGGACTATTCCAGTTTCCTATTTATTTTTCAATCAGTTCAATAATTTACAAATTTCAAGATTCACGTGCATGTTAAAGTCTGAACACTACCTCAGAACACTAACTCCTATCACCTCTCAAACTATGTTCTATTTTTGCTCAATATTGCAGTCTTCTTTTATAACCTCAGAAACCAGACATTATGATTATGATTTTATGTTAAATAATGTTTAGATGTTCTTTGTTCACCAATACGTTTGGTATCCCAAAAACTCTCCTGGGATCATTTTCTTCTCCCTAAAACACATCCTTTAGAAATTCTTTTAGTGAGGATTTGTTGGTGGCAAACACATTTTGTATATCTGAAAATGTCTATTTTGCCCTTACTCGTGGAAAATAGTTTTCCTGGGTATACAATTTCAGGTTGGTGGTTATTTTCTCTGGGCATTAGTCTCACTGTTGTTCCTGTATAAATAAGTACTTTTTCTGTCTTCTTTTAGGGTATTTCTCTGTCTCTGGTGTTCATCAGTTTCTCTCTGATATATTTAATAGAAGAATTTACTTTATCTGCTTGGCATCTGTTCTATTTCCTAAATCCATAGATTCATACCTTTAATCAATTCTAGTAAATCCTCAGCTGCTATCTCTTTGAATAGTGCCTCTCCCCTATTCTATTAGTTCCTCTGGAATTCCGATTAGACTTAACTCTGATTAAACATGTTATATCTTCTCTACCTAGTCTCTATTTTTAAATCTTCTTTTATATATGCCATCTCTTTTTCCTCCAGTCTATAGTCTGCATATTTTCCTCAAATCTATATTCCAATTAACTAATTCTCTCTTTAGCTACATCTTATCTGCTATTAAATCATCCACTGAATTTATAATTTGAATTTTTTTTTTAAATTTCTAGAATTTCTATTGGTTCTTTTCAAACTGACTTGGTCATTTTTGAGCATGTCTTGTTCCTTATTCCTTGTGATGCCTGCACACTCTGAATATACTAAAAATCACTTAACTGCGTACTTTAAACGGGTTAATTGTACAGAATAAGAAAATCTCATGGGCATATTCACTGGTAGCTGTAAAGTTTGGCTCTTGCATGGGATGCTAAAATATTGAGAGAAGTTATGAAGGCTTGAATGGCAAAGCCCTAGGAACGAAAGCTTATTACTGAATGACCTAAAGACAACTTACATATGCGAATTTACACATATACATATGAAGCTGGGGTAGTGTCTGGGATTGATTGTAGAAGCCCAGGAGAAAGGATTTTTCTCCTGCTAGAAGGTTTGGCAAGGTGAAAGGTATGGGCAGATAATCCTAATATGGACAATTGCAATCCATCCTGCCAGGAGCTGGAAATCTAGGAAGGTACACAGGCCTTGAAGAGAGTGTGAAGTTAAACCAGTCAGAAAGAAAAAATGCTCTGTCCTCTAAGGTTCTCCCTCCACTGCCAAGGAGAGAACCTACAGAACTGCTGTTGGTGGAAAAAGGCAAAAGTTTTCTTGAGAGGTTTTCACTTCTCTAACTAAAAGGAAGGAAAATGATAGAAGCCAGTTCTCACAGCAGTGGTGGTTACAAAGCAACACATTCCAAGGGGAGAGTTGAAGATGCAAGGTGCATTCCTCATAGGACCAGCTATGTAATTTGTGGGACCTAGTACAAAATGAAATATAGGGCACCTCGTTCATGAATTTCAAAAACAGTGACAGCAGAGCATTAAACAAAACACACTTTTCTAAGCACTGGCTATGTGTGATGGAACAGGACATAAACCCATGAAGTTTGCCCTGACTCCTCAGCAGCAAGAGCAGTGGTAGGAAAAATTCAGAAGTCATAGAAAAGTATAAAGCTGAAAATCAAGATCATCTAAAACCTCACCATCCAGAGACAACCACTGTTCTCATTTTGGTGTCTATCCCAGAGATTTTTCTATATACATACACATACGGAAACATATATTCATACAATATTTTTATACTACGGAATGGTATACTGTACCTTCTCTTTTGTAGACTTTTTAAAAAAAACTTATTCATTTTGAAGAGTTTTCATGCTAGTAAACATAAATCAATTCTACTGTATGGAGGTTCCGTGTTCCACTTAACTAAACCCTTACTATTGGGTGTCTGAATGGTCTTGAATTTTTTATTACTCCAAACGATGTGCATTAGCTATCAATAAAGTTGAACAAGGATTGAATGAGTCAATCAATATAAAGCACTTCAGAGTACTTGGCAAATAGCAAGCTCTCCACAAATGTTAGTGATTTGTTGTTGTGTTTTTTTGCTTTTTAAAATAATAATGTCAATTTGCCCTGTGTAAAGGTTGAACTAATTTACATTCACAAAGCAGGGTAAGAGTGCTTAGTTTCCCTAAATCCTTGCTAAATTCCTTCAATTTTTGCCTTTTGTATTTCTTCCTCTGTGAATGGCCTGTTCATGTTCTTTGACAGCTCCCCTGCTGGATTTGTCATGCTTTTTAAATTTTAATTGATTTCTGTATTGAGGATATCAATCCTTTGTTATATGAATAATGAGTACATTTTTTCCCTTAAAACCAATTAACCCAAAACTCACCTCCAGTTCCTAGGACCTTCAGAAGCTCAAAATTTTCAATCCCCACCTTCTCTGCATGTCCTGTTAAATTAGCTAAAAAACAAAGAGAAAAAGGAAGTAATTAAAGTGATCAGCCATAGGAAGGGGAACACAGGGTCTTCTGAAGTACCAGCCATGCTCTATTTCTTGACCTGGTGTATCTTAAAATTACTTATTAAATTGTACAGCTATATTTTATGCAACTTTCTGTATGTTATCCGTTACAATAAAACTTTTTAAAAAGTATTTAGTAACTATATTTCATATGTAACAAAAATAAAAAATGTTAATAGACTGTACTGATCAATATAAACTGTAAATAAACAAAAATTCTAATCTATAGATATGTAGTGGAAAGAAAACTGGACAGATTTATTCATTTTCTTCAACAAATATATACTGAGTGTCTATTAAATGCCACCCGCAGGTTCTAGGCTGCATTCTAGTCTCACTTCTGCCACTATGTACTTTAGCACCTCTTGGTTTGAATTATTTCACCACCCTGTATCTCAGTTCCCTCATCTCTGAAATAAGGCGTTGGTCTCAATGATCTCTAAGATATCTTCCAACTCTAAAATTCTAGGGCTATATTTACAAATACAAACTCTTCAAAAACATATATTCTTCTAAATAAATAAAATTAGGATACCCCCTGAATGATCATTTTCCGAAGTATTTTCCACTGAATCCTAGCCCAATCCTATTGATAGTGCCCTGGTCAAATAAATTTGGAAATGGTTGGCTTAAACAAAGTTAAACAGACGTCTTTATTGACGAACTTCATAGATCCTGTACTATGAAAACATGCCTGGTGAATCTCCAAGACTGAAATCCAGTATTTGTCAAATTTATATGACTACAAAATTATGTTTAATGGTAACACCTATTAACACTATGTGAACTAGCATTCTCTGAAAGTGGTTAAAAAAAGGCTTTGTCCAAATCTTAGTTCTACCACTTACAAGCTGTAGGACCATGAACAAATCATTTAACTTCTCTGTGTCTCAGTTCTCTCTAGTGTAAAATGGGGATGATAAAAAAACCCACCCTCAAAGTGTACAGATGTCAGCAACTTACTCTGAAATGCTTTAAAAAATAAAATAGATTGATAGATGAATAGAGGTATAGATAGATATATGTGATAGAATAAATATAACAAAATGTTAATGGCAGAACATAGATAGTGAGTTTAAGTGTATTCAATACACAATTCTTTCCGATTTTCTGTATATTTGAAAATTCCCATAATAAAATGATAGAAAATAAAATACCTAACTCATGGGACTGTGACAAGAATCTGAGTTAAATTTATACAGTGATTACAAGTATTTGTAAATGAATTCATACTTTGGGACTACAATTTAAAGAAACTTAGACCTGACAAAAAACTTGTAAAATTAAGTTTCAGAAGATAAGTAACTCTGGTGTCTTTCCCAAGTTTAAATGCATGATTTTATAGTGGGAACAAATCAATGCATGTCGCCTATTCCTGCAGTTCACACTGACATCAACACAGATCTAAAATAAATGTTAAAAACACAGGTATTATCTTCAAGTAAACACATATCTTCCTCTAGCCTGTCAAGCAAATTACATTAAAAGTCAAGCTCACAGGAGGCAACTACTTTTGAAATAATAATTTGGCTCTATTCTAACTGAATGCTAAATTCTGTTATTTTCTTATGAAAAAAGTTTAACACATTATTAAGGAGTCATATGTTGAAAATGTTAAAAATTATTACTTTGTTCTCATTATTAGGAGCCATGCATTATTTACTATACGTAAAGGTCCAACTTACCAAAAACACTGTCCATATATTATATTTCTCTCATATCTATACCTGCTGCAAGACTAGGAAGATATGAAAATATCTTTTGATACACTGCCACTTCAGCCCTTCTTCACTAACCATAAAATCACCTTTCTTCACTAACCATAAAATCACTTTCAAAGGAAATTAAAAGAGGTCACAAAGAAATTATGCTTTGTTGTATAAAGTATACCATCCAGGAAACCCTGTAATTCACAAAGATCCTTTAGGCGATCTGTAAAGGGCCATTTTTACTCATAATCAACTACCTCTACTATTTTGTTTCTGACATAAATTAATACTTAGCCTGCAAGAGGCACTCAAAACTTCTCTAACCTCCTATTCCCAGGTCAAAAAATCATATGGAAATCTTCGCACATACATACCCCCGTCCCCCACCAGTACAGTAGGCCACTGTTGTTAGGTGCTGGCGAGTCGATTTCAATTCATAGCGACCCCACATGACAGAGTAGAACTGCCTATTAGGCAAAGTAAGTGATCACATGTACAGAAGCAAATCAATAGGAAGATCTATCATATTTTGTCATGGAGGAGTATTTGTTTATTACAAATATTTTAATAATTGTGTCAATAATGAAACACATAAAAGCAAATGGTAAATATCATACTACATAGAATCATCCAAGCAATGGGAAACACATATCCAAGTATGTGAGTCCAGGTGTCTAAACGGTTCTCATTTCGATGTTATTATTTTGTCATTGCTATTAAAAGCCTTTGAGCATGAAAGTACAAAAATAAACATTTCTCTTAATTAAATTACTAACCTAAGAACAAGAGCTTAAACTCCCCACAACAATTTTAACATTTACTAGGATAAGACTTAAAATATTCACATATTTCATTTCCTCTAGAGGTAAAATAAATTTCAGGCAATGGCAGAAATCTTCTGTATTTGTGAGTCATTTACCAAACCAAACCAAAACCAAACCTGTTGCTATCAAGGTGATTCTGACTCCTGGCAACCCCATGTGTGCACAGTACAATTGTACTCCATAGGGTTTTCAAGGCTGTGATCTGTAGGAAGCAGATCTCCATGCCTTTCTTCTGAGGTTCCTCTGTATGGGTTCAACCTACCAACCCTTCAATTAGTAGTCAAACACTTAACAGTTTGCACCACCCAAGGACTCCTGAATGACATTCCTTAGTGAACTATAAAATGATATATTAATCATATGCCTTGGAGCTACTTGCATGCCTGAGACCAGATTGTATCAGAAAGAGGCCTACAGTATTGGGAAATAATTAGAATTGTTGTCTTTCTTCATACCCAAATAGATGGTACTTTATTGCGGTTGTAGGAGAAAAAGAACTTTTGCTCCTTTTTCTGTGTCAGGTAAAAGTTTCCGTGAAACTCTCTTTCTAATTCTCCCCAAAGGTAAGAGAGATTACTAATCTAATTATTCAAGAGTCCAAAACTCTGATTTGCAGAGTTGGGATAGGTTTCATTTTCAGTTAATAGTAGGTGCAGTCACTGTGTTAAGCTATCAAACTTCACACAAGGTCTCTTTGTTTTTGTGTCTTAGACTTCTGGCATGGTCAGACCCCCTGGGTCAGAATGGCCATTCTCTTGCACTTCTCCACCGTTCACCATATTATATAGCGGTTAGCTAAGCAGATTCAGGGCTTCTCTTATTTGGTCTCTCACTAGTTGTTTGTTTGCTCCCCTCACCCTTCTTGGTCACACACCTGAACATGCCAGTCTCAAGATTCTGATGAGATGGGGTCGGGGGAAGTAGGAAGCTTCACTTAGGCCTTACACATAAACTATGTTCACCAACCCAACTTACAGAAGAGTTGTACACTGACGTGTGGGGGAATTTGCATAACTCTAATTAAAGTGGTACTCTGATTGCTACTAGCTACCATTCATTGCTGATGGTTCCCTCATGACTTGTGAGGGAAAAGGACAGTAAACTGGCAGGGTAGGATTTGGGCATTTCTGGGTTTCTGGCTGTAATAAATAGCATCAAAACCTCACCCTCAGCCCCTGTAAGTCGTAACTCCTTATTACAGAAACAATGCTTTATGAAAACTCTTTATAAATAAAGAAGAATATCAATAAAACTTAAAAGACTTAGACTAGAGCTATTCAGCTGGTGCATGGTAGTATGATCATATCAATTGTTTACATCTAGCATCTATTTCGTTGCCCACATCATGTTCTTGTTCTTGTTAGGTGCCATCAAGTTGGCTCTGACTCACAGTGACCCTATGTACAACAGAACAAAACACTGCCTGGTCCTGCACCCTCCTCATGCTCGCTGTTATGCTTGAGCCCACTGTTGTAGTCACTATGTCAATCCATCTTGTTGAGGGTCTCCCTCTCCTTCGCTGACCCTCCACTTTAACAAGCATGATGTCCCCTCCAGGGAATGGTCCCTCCTGATAACATGTCCAAAGTATGTGAGACGAAGTCGTGCCATCCTTGCTTCTGAGAGGCATTCAGGCTATACTTCTTCCAGGACAGATTTGTTCGTTCTTCTGACAGTCCATGGTATACTGAACATTCTTCACCAACACCATACCTCAAAGGCATCAATTCTTTTTCAGTCTTCCTTATTCACTGCATGTATATGAGGTGATTGAAAAACACCCTGGCTTGGGTCAGGTGTACCTGGTGGCGCAGTGGTTAAGAGCTCAGCTGCTAACCAAAAGGTGGGCAGTTCGAATCCACTAGCCGCTCCTTGGAAACCCTACAGGGCAGTTCTACTCTGTCCTATAGGGTCGCTATGAGTCAGAATCAACTCAACGGCAATGGGCAAATTTTGCCCGCATCATACAAGCTGTTAACTACAGTCATGCGCCATATAACATCCGTTCAGGCAACGTCCGACTGCCTATACGTCCATGGTCCCATAAGGTTATACTCTTTACTTTATTCCGTACAGAGCAATGAATAATAAGAGGTCTGAGATTCTAATCTTTGTTCTATCATGAGTGTGTTGCGTTACAAAGTACTTACTTCCCTGGGTCTGCACAAAGAAGGGGTTGGGCTCAATGATCGTCAACATCCTTTATGGCTCCCAAGTCTGAACCAAAGCTCATGCATGACTGAAGGCCTGCTCACCCCAGGTTGGTGGACTCCCTCGTGTGGGTTTGTTTCATAAGGACAGGAGGGCAGAGGGGCCGAGGGCGAACTAACCCCTAGTCTCCACCACCTGGGATTGCCACCCGAGCCCATGCGCACCCCTCCCACCCTTCCCAAAGTGCACAGAAGAG